ATCAACTTCATTGAATCCATCGGATATCGAAGCAGCACACACAGACCTTCCTATTGATTTCACTCCACCAACAATAGAAGAAATCAGGATGGTTATCAGACAGATCAACAGTGGGGAGGCAACAAGACCTGCCAACATACCAGGTGGAACACTGAAGTCATACATTGAAGTAACTGCAAACACGCTTCACACTCTATTCAGGAATATTTATGAGGGAGAACAAGTGCCAACAGACAGACTGGAAAGACGAGTAGCTCACCAAGATGCCAGAGAAAGGAGATCTGAGCAACTTTGAGAACTGCACAGCCATCACACTACTTCCAGTACCAGGAAACGTTTTCAACAGAGTGTTGCTAAAGCGGATGAAAAATTCAGTGGACGTATAACTTCGAGATAAACAAATTGGATTTCGTAACAATTGGTCTTGCACAGACAAAGTCACGACAATACGGATAATTGATGGACAATCAACTGAATGGAGTTCGTCACTATACATGAATTTCCTTGACTATGAGGAGTTTGACAGTGTAAACAGGCAAACCCTATGGGATTTTGTCCAACAATATGGTATACATAGGAAGGTTGTCAACATTATGTGGAACTCATACGACGGACTACAGTGCGGAGTCGTGCATGGAGGAGAGCTGACAGATGCATTCCAATTAAGGACCGGAGTCAGACAAGGCTGCTTACTCTCACCCTTCCTCTTTCTCCTGGTGGTCGACTGAAGTTTGTGCCTACATTGTCATTCAGAAGAAAGATGAAAGTTTCACTACCAAACTATCCAGCTCAGAGAACAAAATTTCATCATAATCAGAGTATATGTGTAAGTTCTATATGATGACTTGAAATAACATTTTTACGATTGAAATTACAAAATATATTTAAAAAAAACCAGTTTTTTTAAATTCACCATATCTATCCATGAAGTTTATCTAAAAGTAGTAATTAAAAGAATTGAAATTAACATAAAAGTTAACAGATTTGAAAGCTGAAACAATATGAATCAAGTCAATGAAACTTCAACAGAAATCAATGGTGAATAATTTGTAGTGAAATTTGTATGATATAACAAAGAAATTAATGCGTAAAATTAAATTATACCAAAGAAAATAATCGTCTTTATTAATTAAACATAGTCCATTAGATCCCTCAATTGTACTCATGATAGACTAACCATAAATTATATATATATATATATATATATATATATATATATATATATATGTATATATAGATGCTTGGTATTTCCAAACGTATCGATGAAATCCCCAGTGGTGTAATCCAAAGTAAGGTATGGTGTATTCGCACTCACAGTCTATGAATGTAAATAATATTTGTTTTAGATCTCAGTTAACTCAATCATGAATGAAAATAGAACGAGGAATGTGTGAGAAACAGTGTATTTGTTAGCCAGCAACGTTATGTCACGCTATGTTAGTATCACAACGGAAAAAGTGTTCAAGGTCATTTACTAAAACAACAGGTACAATCATTTAACGATAAATGTACATGTAGTGAGAAATTGACAAAATAAATACCAATAATATTAAAAACTATTTACAAAATAAGCTTGTCAGACCTATCTCCACAACTTTCATATTATGCTATACTTTAATTTTATACTTAATTTGCAGAGTTATTTGAGACCTATTTATTGATCCTGATATTATCCATGTTTCATTCATGGACTCTATTTAAAGCAACGAACTACATAGTCGATCTATTTGTGCATTTACTTCCATAATTCAGTCCCTTGTATTTTTTTTCAACTTGTAACCGTTTTTCTACCATTTTCTAAGGGATAATAATCCTAATAAAGATTTTGTATAACTTCATTTTGAGAATATTTATACCCACTTATTTTAAGTATCATGTTAAATATTTCATAACTTCCTACTTTTATTATTATCTGTGTCTTATTGAACTCAACTTCATTGATTATTTATACTGATTACAACTTTAGGTCATTTGCAGTTGGTGAGACGTCCTGAAATATAATGTTTTACTGTACTAAATCGTCATGTTTATTGATGTTTTCATCTATGTGTAAAGAAAGAATGATGAAAATATGATGCATGTTCAATGGAATTTCAGTGAATACTTTGAAAGTTAAGTTTGTGTCTATATGGTAACTAAATGTTTCGAAACAGAGATTTTTAATTGCTCTCTTTTTTTCTTTGATTTCATTCCTAACTGTAAAAATTATTTATTGATGTAGAACCTTGATGAGAAACTATTTCCTATCTTATATTTTATCTTATATGTCTTGATGGGTATATTTAGTATACATTGAGATATATTCACAATTGATTGATCACTGGGTGGTGATCAATGTCATGCTTGTCTAGTCCTTATTAGTGCAGATCGAATGCTATCGATCATGTTGCAATGTGGCCACCAGTCTAGGTGACTCGACACTGCGGGCACTATGTATTGAGATTAAGATGGTGGTTGGAGGTAGTCAACAGGAAACCCTGGACCCGGGTTTCGTGCTACTTGGCACTCGTCAGAAAGGTGTACCTGTAATCTTGAGGGAACTGGTGCTCCCTGGCGGATTCGATCTCGTGTCACCCAGCTTCACAGTCAGAGACGTTACCACTGAGCTATCCGAGCCGTGACTAACCTCCGCCAGGGAGCACCAGTTCCCTCAAGATTACAGGTACACCTTGCTGACGAGTGCCAAGTAGCACGAAACCCAGGTCCAGGGTTTCCTGTTGACTACCTCCAACCACCATCTTAATCTCAACATTGAGATGTATTACTAACAGTTAATATTTATACTACAGTTAATTCTTCTAATACTATACTCGTTAATTTCGATGTTGAAAATGTGTTAGCTTGACTTACACAATAACTAGGGCTTAAAAATCCTAAATAAATGTTTCATCTAACTAATAAGAACTTTCGTTTAAATTTGAACAAATAGTTTCACAATATTTGGGCTCCGAGTTAGTGTGAGACATTAAAGAGGAAGAATTTATTTGTAAAATCTCAACGAAAGAATTTGAAGTCAATCCAACGTTCCACCCGGCAATCTGGTCCAAGCTTTTTCATCTAATTTACCCTAAACTATTCAACATTACAGTTTCGGTTTATTTTGTTATCAAGATAAAAGTGTTAATAAATCAATTATGATTATACAGTGTAATGAATAACAATTTTTAATTTTCTATTCATAAAAGTTAAAAAAATTCTAAAAATATTGTTGTGATATTTAGACCGGTTAATTATCACGTGACTTATTCACCAATCGGAATACGACTTATACAATCTTAGTACTGTGCCAAACCAATGACCTTCGACCAGTATGAGCAGCCTAGAGTCCTTTCTTGGTCCTTTTTCCTGCCTAACTCTACCAGTTGAGTCCAGAACACCAATACCAGCTTTCACTATATGAATCATTTATTCCAAACATATCTGATTTATATACAAGCTAAATGGACCACACCACACTATAAAATAGGAAATAAAATTTGTACAAGATCAAGCCAAAAAGTGTCTGTAAACGTGGGAGACTGTAATTAATAAACTAAACATAACTTAACAGTAGATCGTATAATAATGGTCTATAGGTCGGAATAAAGCTTATAATAAAAGGAATTTAGATATACACAATCTAGTTACTGATTAGTTATACAATAAGAATAATATTAGTCCATCAATAATTCTCAGAAGTTACCCGTATTTTAATCTTCACTAGGATATAACAAATATGTGTGACGAACCAGCTAACTTCGAAGTCACACTTTGCAGTCAACATCTAACGTGGATTACCCCTTCAACGTATCAAAGTACTATGGCTGCTCTGAAGACCGTATAACATTAAGGAAGTTATTAAGGAAAAATATTAGTAAGAATGAGTACAGAGAAGATAGCAAGACCACCACCTCATGCGCCAATCCATGGCATACGATTCACTGATGCGCGTTGGTTGTCCGTGACCCTGACAGGGATCGACGATCAGTGACCCAACTGCCGGCTAGGGCTCAGTGACATTTCACTGACCCTACATAGTCAACCACTTGTGTATGTATATATATGTGTATGTGATATAAATAAGAGGTTAGCTCAATGTAAATAAGCATATAATTTTCAGTTAATAAAATAATTGGATAATTTTCTGTTTTAGGATAGGCAATGATGTAATAGATTGTATTCAATTTGTTACAAGAAATACAGGAATACAGCTCATAATATCGAATTGATGTTTATGGACTAACTTGATATATATCAACATGACGCAATCAAATGTATTCTAGGTCATAAGTAAATAGAATATATGAGTTAAATTCATTCAAGTATTCCCTCCAACCACGAATTCCAAATTTATTTGATTTGATTGGTAAGACAATGTATATATGTACTTATTTATATTCTGTGCACCCATAAAGGATTACTTATAACTTGGAAATAGTAAGTTATTTGTACAGCTTTAATTGACAGTCTGGACAACATCTTCAGTGCCTATTTTATGTAGAAGTGAGCCTTCCAGTTATTTCATAAGTGTTATATCAGTGCATTCTGATGACTTAGTGTATGACAGACTGTTTTCTTAGGTTTTATTGTATTCGTTTGTTCCTGTAATAATGTTAACTGTCTTTGAATATTTGATCCATGTGACCTGGTTTCCTGTATATTTGTGTTTCCAAAGATCCCGTATTTATTCTGTCGACTAAAACGTTCAAAAATAAGATTTTTTTTCTCTTGTGGATTTGACGTCATCAGAAATCTTGATGACCAACTTATGAGTACTTTCAAACAGATTTTTTTCCATGATAACGAAAGCATCATTTGCATAACGTATCCGAATCTTTACCTTGATTACTGATGGAGCTATAATCTTGCGCTTTTGCATCGTAGCTCCTGAAATTAGTCTTGATATGGGAGATTACGTTACAGTTACTTTGTGCAGTCTGTAAATCAGACGGTTAAACAGGTTACATGTTATTAGACACAGGTTTGTGAGCATTCTCGCATCTGGACACCATATTTGTGTATGTCTGGTGAGTTGTTCGTTGTTGCTGAACAAAAGAACTGCAATATAATCTTCTGTATCAAAACTGATCTCAGGAACTGTGATGCATCATGTGCTTCAAGCCAAATAAATTCAGAGCGTATTGAATCTATTTTAGAAATAATGTATTGTTGAACCATATTTTTTCTATTAGATCATCATCAAGCTTCACTCTTGTATACAGTAATATGTTCATGTGCATATGTGAAAATATTGAGACACTTTAGACAATTTGAGAATTAGCAACCTTTGCATATATAAGAAACCATTAATGTATGAAACTGTTTTAGAACAAGCGATGATCAGTTATCTGTCAGGAAGGATTCAAAAGTAATTATGATTGTAATATATACATTTGAATAAAGGGGTTCACTTGTGTGTTCAGTAGAAAGAAATGATCCACTCCGAGAAATTTGTTTATGAACGGATAAATTCGATATCAAAAGGCAAGCTATGGTCCATTTTTCGAATAATAATAATTTAATTCATCTGATAAAACTCTGTAAACCGTATTAAGATCAGACATGTTTGGTGAAATGAATAAGAATAACTGCCTTCTATGTATGACTTCTTTCCTAGTGTAAATCACACTTAATAGAACTTTAAAAAATCTTACGGGTTTTCATTTTACCAACGACTTACTGTCCAACTAAATAAAATTATAATCCCTACATTCTGTTCAGACAGGTGATGAATAAAACGTCATTAAATCAAACCCAAATAGTGTACGACCGAACACCTGAATTCAAAATTCCAAACAACACCTTTCCTATGTATTCAACTCCGCTCCACTCATCGAATTCAGTTAAATGCAGTGAACTCTGTCAGTACGACATACCAAACATATCACTTAATTTGGCTACTTTATCGCTAGAAGACTATGACAAAACTCCAAAAACTGATATCTCAACAATGAGAAATCGATATTCTCGAAAAAGCTTACTTTGCAAATTACCGGTCTCCGATTGTTCACATAGAAGGAATTCGTATGTGGAATGGTCTCACCATGATTTTACTAATGATGATCATTGGCGGATTGTACGCTATTATTTTGTTGAATCTAAACATTTACAAATGAATAGAAAGGCTTATTTAGATGATGGAGTGAATCATTCCACCGGGTTATATCGTATTTATATTGATGAAAACGGCAATAAATATTCATTTTTTTAATCAGTTGTATTATTTTCGAACAATTAATTTGTATAAAATTTGATAGTAGTTTTATTTTAAACATTATTTATAGCATAACTAATGTATTTTCGAAATGGCTTTTATGAAATAAACACTCTAAACTTCTTAGTGTTTTTGAAAGTCACTGTAATTTTAATTTTGCATAGACGAAGATCATTTTGTATGACCGTTGCGAAGTTTATGTGAAATGGTACATGTATTTTGTTAAACTGAAATATCATTACAAACTCATCATGTTCTAAGTCAAACAAGATTTATATATCTGAAATGGCCTGCTTGAATATGTGGGCTACCTGTTCCTTCCATCAAGATATTTCAACAAGTTATATGTTTCCATGTTGTTGTAACAGATCATTATGTCAATTGATTGAATAATCTATTCAGGTAGGTTTGTGAAAAGTTTAAGATCTTTCGTTGTAAAAGTTAGAAAAATTTACAATCGGAGACATCGTAGTGGCTAGCAATATGCATTGAAAAGAATGAACATTATTCAGATGTCGATTAATAAGCTGGTAGCATCTAAACTTACTTACTTACATAGGCCGCTCACCAGCATTGTCCATCCAACTATGTCCTGGGCAATCCTTTCCAGCTCCTTCCAGTTGTTATTCATCCTTTTCATATCTGCTTCTATTTCCCGACGTAATGTGTTCTTTCACCTTCCTCTTTTCTTCTTCCCTTCAAGATTACAAGTTAGGGCTTATCTCGTGATGCAATTTGATGATTTATGTAATGTATGTCCTATCCACCTGCAGCGTCTTTTCCTAATTTCCTCTTCATTTGGAAGATGGTTTGTTCTCTCCCACAGTAGGCTGTTTCTCATGGTATCCGGTTGACGGACATTGAGTATTTTGAGTAGACAATTATTTATAAATACTTTCGCCTTGTTGATGGGGCATGTGGTAGTTCTCCAAATTTCAGCACCATACAGTAGAACTGACTGTTTTGACGTTCGTATTGAAGATTGTGACTTTGATATTGGTTAACAGATAGTTGTTTTGAGTTTCATATTTTGTTCAACTATATGAATACTGTCCTTTCTTTGCTCATCCTCACCTTTACGTCTACACCCGATCCTCGTTGTTTAAGATGTTGTCTATGTAGATACGTGAACATTTCCACATCTTCCAGAGTTTCTCCTTCAAGTATGATTGGGTTGGTGTTCTCCGTGTTGTATTTGAGGATCTTGCTTTTACCTTGTATGTGTTAAGGCCTACTGATTCAGAAACTGCCGCTACACTGGCTGTGTTTATCTGAATTTGTTTATGTATATGGAATAGAAGAGCTAGGTCATCTGTGAGTTCCAAATCGTCTAGTTGATTCCAAGTAGTCCATTTTATTCCGTGCTTCCCTTCAGATGCCGTGGTCTTCATAATCCAGTCGACCACCAGGAGAAAGGGGAAGGGTGAGAGTAAGCAGCCTTGTCTGACTCCGGTCCTTACTTGGAATGCATCTGTCAGCTCTCCTCCATGTACGACTTCGCACTGTACTCCGTCGTATGGGTTCCGGATTATACTGACAATCTTCTCAGGAACTCCGTAGTGTCGAAGACGTTTTCATAATGTTCTCCTATCTACACTGTCAAAAACGCCTTTTCATAATCAATGAAGTTGATCTGTATTGACGAGTTCCACTCAACTGCTTGTTCGACAATGGTCCGTAGTGTCGCAATTTGGTCTGTGCATGACCGATCGCTATGGAACCCAGCCTGTTGATCTAGAATTTGGGCGTCTACTGCGTCTTTCATCCGGTTCAGCAACACTCTGTTAATGACTTTCACAGGTACTGACAGTAACATCTGAACTTGTGATCACTTAATACTTATCGTCAATATAGATCAAGAAATCAGAAACGGAAACTCGCTGAAATAATTTATACTGTGAATTCTACATCCTACCAAAATTATAATATTGAATAAGTATAATAATAATAACAATAGGTATCGTTACCAAGGTTTGATTTGATAATTTCGAATAAACTGAGCTTTAGGTAGATTGTTATAAATAATAATTTCAGCCAAGTCGCTATAATATTTAACTGTGGTTGTACTGAGAATACTGCTAAAGCATCTCCTAAATAACTGAAGCCTCGGTTTTGAACAAAGCTAGGGTTTTGATCATGGAAAGCATCGTTGAAGAAGTTGTGCTTTGATATTTTTGTGGTTTAGTAGTTTGTTTACTACCAACTTTCTTTAATATTTTACTGTATATTACTTTTAATTAACAAGTAGTTTAATAAACTGCTTCTTGCTTTTAATGATGATTTGAATCATCGTATTTTGTGAAGAATCTCCTAGACTAATAAACTATTTGCTCACCTGAAACTGGTTCAGAAAGCAACAATGTTGTATTCTATGGCAGAAGTGAATTACCTTCATGTTATCAAATTGTTTCTCCGATTTAAAATCTTGTTAACTTGTGGAATTATGATGTCTATTTGTTTAAATATCACAATCGGCATATGAACTGAATCATTGTTCCCATGTTCGACTGAAAACTTATATATTAAGTATAAAGTCTAGTTTGAATGTGAATCTATGTAACATCTCTCTATGTAACAGTCCTTTAAAGAAATGTACAGTTTAATAAAATTATATAGATTTATGTAAGAAACAGATGTAATTCGTAAGTAATACACATATGATGCATAAATCCAAAGTCAAATATCACATATTTTTGACTTTGATAATTTTTCAACACAAGAAAACAAATAAATTTATTCAAATACTCAGAAGTTAAGATACAAATCCAATGATAATAATAAATATATAAGGAGAACAACTAGAGAAATACTTTTGTACAAGAAATGAATTTCATTTTGTGAGATTCCAGACTTTCATTATGGATTGTGTTCATTGATTGATTGATCGGGATCGTGGAGGCGCACTGCTGAGGAGTCCCACAAAAGAATGAAACAGCCGTCCAGTGCTTCCAGGTTTCCAATGGCAGTCTAACATCAATCGGTTCATGATCTCATTCATAGACGGATAACTTGAAACATCATTGATCATTTATAAAATCCTAAATGATTTCATATTTATGATAATTTTATTGAATAAATAATAAGTCACATTTCTTGTTAAGCAAATAAATTTTATTCTCTCTCATTAAAACAATAGAACATAAGACTGTTATTGGTGGAGTTTCGCTCTCTGAGCTGGATGGTTTGGTTGTGGAGCCATCATCCACCTGAGCTACGAATCTTCCCCACCATCTCGTAAGACTATTAACTATAAGTTCATAGTGAAATGAGAATTATAACTTATATGAATTATGCAAGTATAAAATAAAGCGACAATGTAAATCTCAATAAGTTTATAACTAAAAATATTTTTATAAAAAAGATACACATTGTAACATTGATAATTACATTCTAAACGGTAAAACACTTTATATATGAAAATTATATTTGAAATATTTAAAATAATTCCAGCGTTTTTGTCCAATAAATTTGTCCGGACTACCTCAAGGTAATAATCAAAAATAAAACATCTGAAGAAGTTCAGACAAATTTATTAGACGAAATGTTGGAGTTGTTTTAAATTTTAGTCGCTGAGATTATTTCAACTATAATTTTTACATATAATAACTTTTCTATACTTGGTGCCTAATCTTTTTGTCAAACTATTCGTTCTAATATTGACGAATATTGGTAAAACTTTTTTATTTTTCAAATGATTTAACTCAAGTTCTACAGTTATTAAACGAAATTACTGATCCCAAGAATGATTACGTTTAAGGTATCTTTTAAATTTATAGTCGATGAATTCAAAATAGATTACTGTATCATATAACAATTTCTGTCATATGATCTATAGAAATTCCACAAAAAAATATCACCATTTGACAATAAAATAAAAATCAAATCAGTAGTTAACCAATCTGGACCAATATGAAACCAACAGTTCTGTTTTTAAATGAAAAATGCCTATAATGTTATCATGACAACTTGTATTGCATAAATGTAACTAGGTAGTGGCAGTACACAGGATAAATGTGCAATTATATATATATATATATAAAGTTTTAGAAATGATGGGAATATTTTTTGTAAGAGTCATGATAAAACAGTGATTAATTGAATGTTACCATGTAAATACCACACGATTCGAAGTGACAGTAATGGCATTTTCTATGGATAAAATGGAAAAACTAAATGACAAAATTCAAACGTTTATATATATATATATATATAGCGGTAAATCAATCCCCAAAATCAATAGCTCTGTAAGTCTTCAACATATGATGCTGACCACATTGATTTTAAGGGACTCACCTAGCTGATGGTGCTCAGTCATGCATCCTCACCAGATCACGTGTGTGTATGTTGTGCATAACTTCTCCTACAACCACCAGCTAGCTTAGATCAATCACATCTCGATATATAGATAGCCTATCAAATATATCATTGAGCCTCTTTGCTCTTGATTTCCCTGTGTTGGCACGTTGAGATTATAGAAGTTGTTACCGGTTAAGGTGTTGTCAAACTCCAAATACTTGTCGCATCTTTATATATAGTAGTATTGGCTTTAAAATAAGTAAGATTTTTGCATGATGAATCGTTGAATATGCCGAAATTCAACTAGTACATTTTTTGGTACTTGGTTAGATAAAGCAAATGAAACTAGTTAATCAATTCTCTTTACATGCATTCATCTATAATGTTTAAAATATTTAATTAGTCACACATTAGTATGTCATGATTATCAAAATATCTATCAGAAAAGTTATGATTATTTTAATCTTCATCTTCATGGGTGATTCAATTATTTAATTTATGTAAAGGAAAGTTCAGTTGATATACTTGAAGTAACCAGATATTGTATGCAACTTAACTGATATTCAATAAGTAATATACAAAGGCATTAGTTTAATTTAAAAAAATAATGTAAACAATGACATGAAAATGCTGTAACCAATTTCTACAGAACATATTGATTAACAATTCCTTTAGTTGGTTGTTGTTAATCTTTGACCGATATTACATTTGCATTATGCCAAATCATCAAAAAGACAAAGTACTTGAAATAAATCAATAATCGTTGATGAAATAATGTTATGTCACAAGGAAATAGTAGTAAATAGAGTTGTTGTTACAGATTAAATCTATACCGGTTGCAC